CTGCTGCAGGAGCTTCATCATCATCAGAAGCCCCAAATCTTTGCCGTTGCTTCATTTTCTGTTCGTTTCATGGAAAGTGAGGGCTGGAGGGGAGCTCAGGAGTCGCACCTAGTCCAACTGCCTGCTCCAAGCAGGACCAGCCCCAACTACATCATCCCAGCCAAGGCTTTGTCTACCTGGGGCTTAAACACCTCCAAGGATGGAGACTCCCCCACCTCTCTGGGGACCTTGTTCCAGTGCAGGCTTGTGCAACCTGTTTTCTGAGACCCGAGGTGCTGCAACAGGAAACGAAAGTAAACACTGTACTTTCGTTTCAGGGGGGTGATGCGATACCTCTTCCCGTGAGGTCTTTGAATATGACTCACCAGCCCCCTGGGTGGTAAAAAGTTCATGATCCGGCCCCACATTCAAAAAGGTTGGACACCCCAGTCCAGTGTTTTACTACCCTCCTTGTGAGAGAGTTTTTCCTAATATCCAACCTCACCTTCCCTTGCTGCAGCCTGAACCCATTGCTCCTTGTCCTGTCGTCTGCCCCCACTGAGCTCCATCCTCTTTGCAGCCCCCCTGCAGGGAGGTGAAGGGTCCTGTTCAATCCCCTCGGTCTTCTCTTCTGCAGTCTCAATCAGCCCATTTCCCTCAGCCTCTCCTCACCAGTCATGTCCCCCAGCCCCCAACCATTTTTGTTGCCCTCCACTGGACTCTCCCCAGTGTGTCCACATCTTTTCTGTAGTGGGGGCCCACAGCTGGACACAGGACTCCAGATGTGGCCTCCCCAGTGCCGAATAGAGGGGTCCCTCCCTTACAGCCTCCCCTGATTCCACGCCTCGTGCTCAGCCCGGGGGATTGAGGTGCTTTGCTCCAAGGGGACACCCACCTCCCTCCCGCTCTCCTGCAAGAGACGCTCCCCGAGACCAGGGCGTGCAACGCGCCCTTCATGGTGATGGACATGACAGATGTTGAAGCATGTGAGCAGCCCGGCTGCAGCCCCTCCGCTCTGCTTCATCTGATCCACCGTGACGCATTAGGAAGGAGGAGGAGGGTCTAGTCTTTCTCCTGTTAGGAGCGCGGTGCTATAAAGCTTTGGCCAGGCCTGCGTATGCTTTAGCTGGGGCCACGAGAGGGTTGCTGCCTGTGCTTGGCAGGGCTGAAAGGGGGAAGGAGCAGCTGCAGAGCAGGGCTGGGGGGCAGGGAGCAGAGATGCCCTCCTGTCTGAGATGGGGAGCAGGGCCAGGGGCAGATCAGTCCCTGCCTCTGCCACCGACGTGCTGCGCGGTGCTGGGAAAGTCCTTGCACCTTCCCCACGCTGCCAGTTACGCATTGGTGCTTGGGAGCTGCTGAAGTAGTAGAGAAAACTGTTCTCTGAGCCTCCGTGGCCCAAGCAACGGCTGGCCTCCCCTGCAAGAGGGTGGCGGGGGAAGGCTGATGAATTTTCTGATAATGGTTTGAAAGCTTCCCTTGCCAGCGGCTCCACCTCTTAAGCTCTGCGGATGGCAGGTCTGCACGAGGCTTCCCGAATTGAGTGAGCTTGCAACAGAGGACGAGCTGTACGAACCCACGGGCTCTGGTTAGAAAGCCTGTCCCTCCTATTGCCACCCAAAGAAGGTGCCTGGGTGTAAAGCAAGCAGAGGCGTGAGGCCTTGGGAGAGCCTCTCCTCTGCAGAGCTGCCCTGGGATCTTTCCTTGCCTGGTAGGAAGGATGTTGGATTAACAGCCTAGCTGGAAAGCAGCTGCTCTACCAGTGCTCCCTGCCCCCTCCAGCACCGCACTCTTGCATCAGCTTTCGGTGCTGGGTCTCCGTCCTTCTAGCCCAGAAACCAGGCCACGAAATACCAGTCGCTTCTCCCCAGCCAGCTGTCGTCTCGTGGCCCCCGGCTGCTGCGTGTCGGCTGTGAGCTCCTCGTTATGCAGCTCCCGTGGGTGTTGCCATTCCTGACTGGCGACGCTTGGCCTTGTTAGACCGGCTGGCGCGGAGGCTTCAGGGTAACCCAGCTCCCTAATGAGACCTGAGCCTCGGCGGAGGTTGGCACCACGCTGCCCGCCCGTCTGATCTGATCTCAACTTCTGTCTCGCTCCTGACGAGCCGCTTATCGGGGGAGACGGATGCTCTCCTGGCTGCTCTGCGAATGTGCCGTGCAGTGCTCGGGGCCGGACATGTGTCCGGAGCATCTCCCACCTTCTCCCCCACCATCATTGAGCTTCATCTCTCCAGCTGCTGCTCTGCAGACTGGCGTGGCTGGGAGAGCTGGCCCCAGGCTCCTCTCTCCCACTTGTCCCCCAGCCAGGCTCCGTGTGTCCTTAGGACGTTGACGTCCACCCGCTGGGCCCTGCTGCCGCTTCCAAAGAGCCGGGCAGGGCTCTAAGGACAGGGGCAGGAGCAGCTCTCTCATCGTTGCCCGAAGCCGAAAGGGAAACGTTCTCCCTGCCCCTGCTAGAGAGGCAGCTGCGAGCTTCAGCAAGCTCCGGCGCCAGGGGCGCGTGACTGTCCCCGGGTCGCTTTGCAGGCTTGCACAGACGTCCCTTGAATCCCCGGATGAACAGGTGATAATAAATCGGAGCTTATGATAGGGTGTTCGTTTGCAGGAGGCTTTTTAAAGCCTGGTTTTGAAGCAAGAAAGGTTGAAGTGGCTGTTCTTGATTTTGAAAGCGGATCTTTGTCCACCCTGGGAAGCCCGCGTCTCTGGGTGAGATGGGAAGGATGCTGTGGAGGACCCAGACATGAGAGGTGTTGCAGCGATGCAAGCGTTTCCCCCCTCAGGGCAGGTGAGAGGACCCCAGCCTGGCCCTGGATGCACGGCTTCCCACTGCCACCTCCAACGCCCCGAGTTGCACAACCTTCCCGAGGTGGAGGTGCCACGCGAACGTGCTGCCAGCCTGCCCGGCCCTATTCTGCTTCCTGTTTGCCATCCCTGAGCTTATAAATAGACAGGAGCGAGCGGGTGTTTGCGGAGGGAGGACTTGTTTATTCCCAGCCTGCACGGCCGAGGTGTCGGAGACGACTGGCCTCCTGCTCGGTGTTGAGGCTGGTCAGGGGGTAGCGCTGGAGACGCGGCCCGTGGGATGCAGGGAGGGGAACCTGGGCTGTAAACCTCCGTGCCCCAGCCCCTGGCACTAGCCTTCTCTGCTAGATGTTGCCCCCTTCTGCATCTCCCTGAGGTTATCTCCAGGGCTTTCCCAGAGAGGCCAAGGGGACAAGCCCGGGAGGGCGCTGAGCCGCGGGGATACGAACGTGTTGTTTCATGCTGGGGCGTTGCACTCCCACCGGCTGGCGTCAATGAGCCAGGTGGCTCTGGACAGCTACGCCAATGTGGGCACCTGTAAGGCCGTGCTCCTGAGAACAGGGCCACGCTAGCAGCAGATGCAGCATTGCATGCGTGCGGCCTTCCCCCATGGGCTACCAAGGTGGGCATGGACCTCTTGCCCTTGACTTAAATATGCCCCCTTCCTGCGTGAGGATTAGTTGGGTTGGGTCTACCCTGTGTCTGTGCTGAACAAATTTGCATCTCTTGGGACCTGGTTTCTGCAGCTGGTTATTCGAGGAATGCAGAGAACACCTTGCCCGGTATTCAAGGCGCAGCGTGAGGGTGTTTGGTGCTCTTCCCCTGTGGCTTCCCACCGTCTGCCCGGCGCTGTCTGGGCAGATAAGGGAACGCGGGTTTGGACTGAGGCGGGTTGCTCCTTTTTGTGGTATTTCTGAAGCTGCTTGTGGGTTCCCAGCCGTGCAGGAACAAGTGACATTTTGTATTATGGTTCCACTCGCAAACAGCTCGTAGAGGAGGAGGAGGCTTTCCCAAGGTGCTTCGTAAGTGTGTTGCGCTAGGGAGAATGAAGGATCTGTGATGCGAGAATCACCTGCAGACCCCAAAGCGCTTTTACAAAGGAAGTCGGGATTGCGATCCTCATTTTTACATATGGGGTAATGGCGCAGCAGAGGTGAAGTGACGTGCCCAAGGTCACCTGGTAGGTCAGTGGCAGAGCCAAGCGTACAACCTGGCGGTCCTGGGTCCTGGTCAGTGCTATGTTCCAGGCCACAAGATGAGGTGTGTGTATTCTCCGGTGATTTGGGCGATCTTCTCTGCACTGGCTTCCGTTGTTTTCAGATGTGGGCACTGGGGTTGGCCAGTTTGGGGCTTTTTCCCCAGGGTTGGTCTCTTCAGTGTCACACATGGAGATGAAATCGCCACCTGGCTTCCCTGGTTTCACACACGTGGGGTTAATCGGAGCTCAAGCTGACCCACGCGCCCATTGCCTCCTTCCCAGGGTCCCAGCAGCGCTCGCTACAGCCCCCGATCGGGTGCAGCCTGCAACGTGCAGGCCCAGAGGCGCAGCGAGCCGTGTGTTTTAAAGTGCATTTTATTTGGCTGGACCCGGCTTTTCCAGCAGTCCCGAGCGCTCCGTGGAGCTGCCCCATGCTCCAACCCTCTCAGGTGCCTCGGGGGAAGAAACCCAGTAGGCGATGGCTCCGTCGAGATAGCTGCCAGCCGCCGGTATTTGTGTAGCGCGTGTGCGTTACTGGTACCATGGAGCGCTCGCATTCCTGTTGGGATGTGGTGGACGACTAGATCGGATGCCCTACAGAAGTGCGGGTCTGTGACCGCTGTCCCCCTTCTTTCCCTGTGTCTAAATCAGAGAGAGGGAGGGTGGGAAGGGACCGCAGAAGGCCACATCTAATCCAAAGCAGGACCTGCCCCGACTACATCATCCCAGCCAAGACTTTGTCTACCCGGGTCTTAGGACCCAAGGATGGAGACTGCACCACCGCTCTGGGAAGCCTCCAGTGTTTTACTGCCCTCCTAGTGAGCGGCTTTTCCTAATATCGAACCTCAATTTCCCTTGCTGCAACTTGAGCCCATTGCCCATCTGTGCAAGCAGGAGAGCTGCCCAAAGCCCTTCCCTCAGCTCCTGGCTGCTTGTGGGATGCTGTTCTTCCCTCTCCATCTTGGTGCCCCACAGGAGGGTGGCACGTGCCTGTCTTTGTCACAGCAATGTTGCCTCTTTTTCAGTGTCTCCTTCTCTCTCCCCTGGACTAGAAGACGGGCACAGTGTCACAGCGCCCTCGGCCCTGCCCAGCACTATGCCGAGCTCGCTTCATCCCGAGACGGGGGGCTTCAGTGCAAAGGCGACGGCCCCTCCTGTGACGAGCAGAGACCAGGACGCAGCCACCACGCAACTCAGCGTGACTGGCCCCCGCACGCTTGGACCGGAGGAGCCATCTCTGCCCCCCAGCCTGCGGGCAGCCACCGAGGCAGAGGGGCTGCAGACTCCTGTCACGACCAGCGCCCCAGATGCCACAACAGGGCTCCGCAATGAGAGCCAGGCAGCCAACAGCAGCTCGGACATCCCCTCTCCTCCTCCGACCGCCAACGCGACGGAGCTCAACCAGCCTGGCCACGAAGGGACAGAGCCCACTGGCACTCCCGGCCAGCTCAGCGCCAGGACGGAGGCTCCAACGCCCTTGACCCCTAAGGACTCGCCAGGTGAGACCACCATTCACCAGTGCACGGGGCACGAGCAGGCCTGCCCTCGGAGGCACAGCCTGGGGATGCAGGACCTAGTCCTGCATGCTGCTGGGTTCCCGTGGGCCGTGTTCAGAGCCAAGTTCCACCCCCAGGACCGCTGATCCTTGGGCAGCAGCTGCCCTCTACCTTCCTCAGGGAGCAGGGAGGCCACACTACCCCTCTACGCATTGCAGCTGGGAGTGCAGCGCATCGAGTTCCCCCTGCCTGCAGCTGCCAGCTTAGCTGTTCTGACCGGTCAGGACTGGGCCAACGCTAGGGGCAGGCTTGGAAGCTGATGCCCTGCCCCGAATCCCCTCCACAGGGAGCAGGGACCGACCCTGCCTGAGCTGGGGTTTCGGCGTGTTGCAGCCGACTAGACCGGATGCGTCTCTGGGCTGGTTTGGGCAGGGCTGATCCTGCCTCGGGCAGGGGTTGGACTTGGTGTGAGCCCCGCTGCTCTGAGTCTGTGGGTGCCCTGTCCTCCGCACCTCGTTGCATAGGACTTTCTGGCTATTTTTGCCCCTGAGAGCAGCAGTTGTGCTTCCGGGAGGGCACTGTCATGTGCGCAGTTATTCCCTTTCCCAGGCCGCGTCTCGGCTCCTCTTAGCAGTCTGCAGGCAGCCTCACAGCGAGCGCTTCCTCTCTGGCGCGCTTGTGGGGACCCCACTGCCGGGGGGAGCAGTGTGTGGGGTGGTGGGGGGCTGACAGCCTGTCTTGAACCCCTGGAGCATTTTGGCACAGAGGCCTTGGGGGCAGATTCCCAGATTGCCGCCCTCCCCACGTCCAGCCAGGCAGCATCGGACCCACGAGGAGGGAGGGTGGGTGTTTCCCTCCCTATGTGGAGGTCAAAGGGACCTCCCTGCACGCCCACCAAAGAGGCTGCAGCCCTGAGCGCCCCCTGGGCTTCCACAGCCCGGCCAATAGCATTGCAGAGTGGGCGTCCGCTGCCGCCACCCAGCCAATGGCATTGCAGGGCAGGCGGGCACCCGTTAGCACAACCTCACCAATGGTGTCACGGGGCAGGGGTTTACTGCCACAGTCTGGCCAATGGCATTGTGGGGAAGGGGGCTGGCCAGCCAATGGCGTTGCTGACCGCTCCAGCGCGGTCCTCTCCGGGATGGTGGGAACCACAGAGCAGCTCCTCCTACCGCCCTGCCCGCGGCTCGTGCTGTGGGTTCGGGCAGGCTCTGGCTCTTGCTTTGAGGGGAATTGGCCATTTTTTGTCCTACAGCCACGCAAGGCCGTGCCCAGCCGCCCTCGGAGTTCAGCACCTTGGGACCCAGGATGGGCAGACCCGACTCTGTGCCCGGGACAGCCCACGAGGGTGCCACTAAGGAGAGCAACACGGAGCCCGCCACCATCCCTGCCACACAGGCTGGGCTGGCCACGACTGCCTCCAGCACCACCACGGGCGCCTCCGTAGCTGCCTCTGCCGCCACTGCCACCGCTATCAGTACCACCATCAGGACGCCCCCAGCGGCTGTGACACGGCAAGCAGTGGACCCCGTGCACGAGAAAGTGCCAGTGCTAGATGTGGGGGATGAGGAGGATCAAGGTAAATGCTCTGAGCCCCACGTGCTCGTCTCTGCTGCAGAGGGTAGTGGGGCAGGCGGGGAGGTCAAGGGGTGGCCATGCTGCTCAGGGGAGCCCCTGAATGCACCAGGGGGTGGACCGTCCCGTGGCCTCACTCTTGCTGCTTTCTCCCAGCAGAGCTGCCCAGCTCGCCTGTCACAGGGATGGCGGGGGCTGACCCCCTGGTCATCACCATCATCTCCGTCTTCATCATCATGGTGGGCATCCTGGGCCTGGTGGGCTTCCTGAAGTACCGACAGCACAACAGCCGCATGGAGTTTCGGCGCCTGCAGGACCTGCCCATGGTGAGCAAGGGGCCCTGAGCCTGGCGGGTGGCTGGGTCACTGCTGATCCCCATCCAGCCTGGTGAGCAGCAGATCGGGGTGGAGGGGGGGATCTGGGGAGCTGCCCTCGAGGCACGTGGGTGAGGCGAGTTAGAGACGCGCTGAATAAATTACGTGCACAAAGTAGAGCAAGTACAGCCCAAACTGCCCAGTGAGCAGCTCCATCCTCCCTCCCTCGGTCCCCGCTCCGAGTTTCCAACAGATTCGACTTTCTTCCTCGCTCCTGCTCCAGGGCGTCTGTGCCGTGTTCCTGGGTGGCTCAGGATAGCCAGCTGCTGTGCCCCACCCCAGAAGCAGCTGCCATTTCACAGTGGATGAAGCAATGTTTAACCCATGGGGAAAAAAGACACCTGGGGTGGTCACCCTGTGCAAGGAGGGATGGAGAAGAGGGATCTCAAGCCCAGATACCTCCAGGGGGAGGCTAGGGCCCTCTCGGCAGGGAAGGACTAAGTGCCCCGGGGGTGTGGGTGCTATCAGGACGAATGGAGTCTGCCTTGCGGTGGCTTTTCTTCCTCTCTACATCCACTCCCCAAGGGCCACAGCAGGAGGGGAGGGCAGCAGTCCTGGAAGAGGCGCTGGGAAGGGAGCGTTTGAGTTGCTTAGTGCTGGAAATGGCAGTGCAGCTACTGCTGCATATCGTCCCCTTGCCGGGAGGCAGCACCCCATCGCCCTCCAGGCCTCGGTGAACACTGGCCAATGCCCTGCGTGCTTCTCCTTTGCTTGCAGGATGACATGATGGAGGATACACCGCTCTCACTCTACAGCTACTAGGCCACCAGACGATGACCCTCCGCCCAGCGTCGGAGAGGCTGGAGTGCCCTCAGGAGCAGGCCCTGGAGGACGAGGGCTGATTTTTTGCACAGGAACAGAAATGTTCCTTTCAGACAGTTTGGTTTGGTTTTAGACTTTTTAAACGTTTGGTTTTCAAGTTTTTATGCCGAGAGCCGGAGCCGGCCAGAGCCCCTGCCTGGCCCTGGCCCTCTGCTCACTGCATTGCAAATGCCCTGGCACTCCCCCGAGAGGCGTTTTCCAGTTCGGGCTTTAGCCCCATGGCCATGTCAAGGTTTTTACTGCCCATGTCTGGCGACGACTCACCAGTGCCCCCTGGCAGCGGCTGCCCAGGGCCAGAGGGCAGACGGCTCGAGCCCAAGGAGCTCCTGGGTTTCCACCTCAACACTGGGAACCAGAGTCAGGCAGCAGGTTGGCTCCCACCTGCTTTGTGCTCTTCGTGTACCTCTTGTTCCCGTTCTGGCTTAGCACAGTCAGCCCAGAGAAGCTGGCAAACCACAACACCTCCACCTGCTGTGCCACCAGGAGCAGCGTGCCCCTGCTTGCAGGGGTACCACACCGTTGCACTGGATGTCCACAGAGCTGTGGGATCAGCAGTGGCTCCTTGGCAGGGCCGAGTGCCCCCAGCTTTGCTTCTCTTCCCCCTGGAGCAGCACAAACATAACCCCCCTTGCAGGCTGTGGGTGGGGGCCCTTGCCTGTTTCCTGCCCCTGCTGTCCTTGCCCGAGTGCCTGAGTTTCAGAGGTCAGTTTGTGCCTATTAGTGGCACTGGACCCTCTTGGCGGGGGGAGACTGGCCTGCCCCATAGCTGAGAGCTCCCCTGTTCAGTCTTTTGGTAACCCTGGTCCTTGCCTCGGCTGTTTGGCACCTGTTTGTGAAAAGAGCCTTACTCCTCTCCCTTCCTCTTCCTCGGAGCTGTTGGGCTTGTGCTACCTCCCCCACCTCCACTGCCACTAGCATAAACAATATCCCGTGTGCTGTGCTTGAGCCGTAGCTCTTCTCCAGCTCCTCATATCCCTTGGCTGGTCCCAGGGCAGGGGCTGAACATCACCTAGAGCTGCCACAGCTGTATAATCAAGAGGCATCAGGCTTGGGAACAGCCAGAGACCCTCCAGGGCCAGAACTGGGTGCATCCGGGCTTGGTGTGGAGACGGGAAAGGGCAGTACTCTCAGCCCAGCTGCTCTCAGCAGAGTTCAGGCACGTGACCCCTAGAGACGGAGCCTGTCCATCAGTTGTATGCCCCACTAACACCCAGCTGCCTGTCTCCACAGCTATGGTAGTGTCTGCGTTATGCTTCCAGGGCCTCTTCTCCCACCAGCAAGGCCCAAGTCTCCTCCTTGACTTATGAGATTATTATTTAGGCCACGCGGCAGAGGGACAAGGCGGATAAGCCGGGCAGGGGGGTTGCGCCCTCTCTGCAGCAGGCTGGGACATTGGAAGTAGCTGGTACAAGGCCCTGCGCCGTCGTTTGGGTTCTGCTGGCATTGGGTGCGGGTCTGTTAATGATACTGAGATGCTCAAAAGTAATGATGGGAGTGAGGGCATGTGGTTTGTGCTGCAGGCCCTGGGCAGGATTCACGGGCTCTCGAGGGCAGAATGCTTCTGCACGGAGCAGTTTACAGACAGCAGACTTGTTTCCTGGCTTTGGGGGCAGGGTGTTGCCACTGTTTGGCACAGACAGAAGCCTGTTCCTGATGGAAACAACTTTGGCATGGCTGAGACAGCAGGGCACTGCCTGGCTGTCCCCACCACCCCTGCCTCAGACCTGGGGGTGTGGGGGTGAGGAAGGGATCTCAGCAAACACCAAAGTGCAACTTTTTCTCTTCTATATGTTGATAGTGGATTTTTTTCTGCAATAAAAGTTATAACTGCCAAAGGCGCTTCCCAGTGTCCTCAACAGAGCTGCTCCCATGCTGCACAGCCAGACACGTGATGGATAAACAGCCTCTTGCTTACGGGGAGGCAAATTGCAAACATCAACCCCAGCTGAACCCAATTGCTTTTACCCAGAGGTGGTGGAGTCTCCATCCTTGGAGGTTTTGAAGCCCCGGGTAGGTAAAGGGTGGGGGGGGATGATGTAGATGTGGTGGTCCTGCTTGGAGCAGGGGGTTGGACTAGCTGTGACCTCCTGAGCTCCCTTCCAGCCTTCATTTTCTAGGATTCCCTGCTGCAAACTGTGACAGGCAAAGGAGTGAGGTGGAGCATAATAAGAGTGAACTTGCAAGGTGCGCGAGGTAGGCACCTAAGTGCTTTGCAGGTCTCCAAAAAACCCAGACGCACCTGCTTTGAAGCAAGGAAGAATTATAAGGGGAGACAAAGGGTATGGCCTTGCATGCTGCCCTCCTCACAGGACTGCAGTTATTTTCTACCTGGCCATTCAGGAGGAGGCTGTCTAGGAGCTTCTGCCTCCCTTTTGTACCGGCCAGAGGCTTCGGCTGTGCTCAGTAAAGGTGATAACCCCCTGCCCTGCCCATGCATCTGTATGCAAAATGGTGATGACTTGACTTGACTTGGCTTAGCTCGGTAAGCCAGGGGCTCTAAGCTGCACCTGTCTGTTTGCTCTAGGACAGCACAAATGCTGGCTCACACGCTGCAACTGCTTCCCCCACTGAAGTCCCGCGATGCCTGGGTCACTCCTGGGGTGGGGGCTGCTGTGGTTAGGACACTGCCCTGTCGTCAGGCTGGACTGGAAAGCCCTCCCTGGGATTCCCTAGCACCATTTCTCACCCGCAGCCTCAGGTGTGCCCGCAACTCTCGGCTTGGTTTTAACTGATCCCAGGGGAAGCCGTAATTCTCTGCGCTTCTTGTTAGAGCGTTAGAAGCACTTCTTGGGAAAACTCTGGGATGAAGTAGGGCTGAGCTGCCTCCACTCCGCACCTCCTCTCTGCTTTCGCAGTATGGGACAGATGTGGCTGCTATCTGCAGGGTTATGGGACTCGATTGCTGCTGGGCTGACAGATGCCCTTTCAAAGCTGGCTGGAAGTCACCATGCAGAGCTGTGCGAGGAATGGCGGGCTAGGTTTCCAGGGCACAGAAACATTTGCGTTGCTTTTCTCAGGTGCTCTACGTGGGTGTAGAGAGAAATGCAAGACAGACAGGACTGAGCAGGTGGAGTCTCTAGGACAGGCTGGTGCGGGGCTGTAATTATATATGCTGGGTATGGCATGTGCCAGGGAGGCATCCTTTAAACTCTGCTTGGCAGCTGAGCTCTATGTTGATGATTATCCTGATTTTACGGCTTGGGACCATTCTGTGCTGGGAGGCTCTGATAGACCAGTGGTTTTCACCTGGCTAGTACCAAGCTGTGGGGCCTCCTGCTTCAGCACTCCCCACTCCTAGCACCCGAGTGAAAAGAAAACCTCCCTCAAGTACCCACAGGGCCAGGGCTGCACTTACTGTGGAGCAGTTACAAGCGCCAACTAGACAAAACTTTCCAACAATTGTTTGTGAGCAGCACGTGCAGGCTGAACTATTTGGCTCTGAGGCTTAAATCTTTGGGGAAAAGGCTCCTGCTCTGGATCGAAGAGGTAAATCTGAGGCTATATCCAGAGCTTTTGGTGACGGCTCACTGCTGCAAGGACCTGCACAGGATGTTCCTAATCCTAAAAAAGAGATCTTCCCCTGCAGAGAATCGTGCCCAATGCGACTTGAGCCTGAGGTAACAGCCACTGCAACCACGAGGGCTACAAGGATGGAATGAACGGGTGCCACAAATGCACCACGCGCTTTGCACTCCAGAGCCCGCCCTTCGCCTGAACTTGGTTCTGGCTTATGCAAGGGTTTGCCTCAATTACAGACATCAGCAACCAGCTGCCCTTGAAACCAGGCCAAACAACAAGGGGCAAATAGCTCGGATTGGTTACATCAGCTGCAGTGATGGTTGGAAGCAAGGCAAATCCACAGAGCCTCAGCCCTCCAAAAAGATGCTGTTGCTGAAGCAGTAACCACAGACTAAGTGCCAAAGGCAGCAGCAGGGAAGCTTCCGTCCAGCTCCTGTTTGCAGCCCAGCTCTGATGTGCAAGAAAGCACACCAGCAGGAGGTGTGGGGGGATCTGCCTTGGTGACCCACCAAGCTCTGGGCCTGCCTGCCAGGCGTCTAGCCAGCTTCTGGTGCCGCGACTCTCCTGGGATGGGCCATGGAGAAGTCTTCTGGGCTCAATTTCCCCCATGTGGCCAAGCAAAAAGCTTTTGATGGTGCTAAAGCAGGCACATAGCCAATTCATGCATGTCCTTTGAACACAGCTCAAGCCTTTGATGGCCTCCTCAAGTTCAGTCTTTATGCTTTCCAACCTTGGATTTAATTATAATTCATTAGTGAGGGACAAGAAATCAATCGGATCAGTTTCATTTGAAGCCAAGTGGGTAGGAAAGAAGCCTAGATAAAAGAACACAATTGCCGAGACCCCCACAGCCACCCCTGCTGCCCTCAGACGACTCGTCATCTGCAGGAAAGGAGAAGCAGCAGAAAGAAGGCTGAATTGTCCAAAGACGTTTCTCTCAAAGGGCAGGTCCCTGTACCTCCAAGGAGCAGGAAAAACCTGCGCTGGATGCCAACACTCTGCATGCCAGGCTGTCCGTCACAGCGTCTGGCTGCAGCGTAGCTGGGACAACGTGCTGCAATGCAGTGGAGGAGCCTGTGAATGAGACAGTAGACAGACTTTCAGCTTTTCCTAGCTTCTATAGAAATGCAGGTTCAAGAGGAACTTTTTTTTTTGCCCCGCTGTCACCCAGAGTGTGCAGGGGGTTTTCCCCACTGGAGTGACCCTACTGATCATCACTTGCAGTTGTAGGGAAGAAGAGGGTCTTCTTCCTTCCACCTTGCCAGAGAGAGCAGGAGGAGAAAGGAGGTGCTTTTCAAACCTGTGATGATGCTGGTGTTGCAGCAAGCAACCAGCTGTCAAAGCTCCAGGCTGGCTTGGAGAAGTCTGGGCTCCAGCCAGTACTGGCACCGGGCACTGGGCTGGCCAGTCTGAGCCAGCAATTCCAGATTAGTGTGGACGGATTTGTTTTGACCCGGAGAACCCTGCAAGCTGGTTTTCATACAAGACCTGCCCTTGTGTCCTACATTTAGGTGAGCCGCCTGTCCTTGCTGCCAAAGGAGGGAATGCCAGCTCTCGGCTCTGCAACAAGAAAACTCCAACCACCCAAGGCGCAACTTCAGAATAATCGGAGCCGAGTGAAGCCCTTGGCCCTGTCCACATTGTCCTACTTGACCACGAATCAGGCCTCCTGTACAGGTTGAGGTAAGAGGCCCTTATCAGCAATAACCATGGTTAAAATCTCTATGGGGGATGAGCTGCCCATAAGCAGCATTGCTGTCTAGGATCCAGGCTCTTCATGGACTTGTGCATTTTAAACCATGTCCTTGGCCCGTAGTTCCCAAACCTTTGGGCTCCACAGACTCGCTGCCAACCCTCAGAAGTTTCCTGCGGACCAGCTGCAGCCTTAGCACCAAAGAGTTTCATTGACAACGCTCTAAAGACACACAGACCTCCTGTAATTTATGGACCATGGATCACAACCTCAGGGCCACTAGTGGCCTGAGACCACAACTGGAGACAGCAGTTGGCTTGCATGACCCTGCCCATCAGACTCCCTGTTTTGTGTCCAAGAGATGTGTTGGGGTAGAGAACATCAAATGCTGCTTTGCGTCCAACGTGCGAGGAGCTAGCTTAATGAGTAGCCTTACTTCACATGTAGTGATTTTCTCTCAAGGGGCAAAGGAGCCTGGAAGCCTCCCAAGCCCAGAGAGGTAACAACAGAATAGCAATAGCTGGGAGGAGACGGACCGAAACCCTGGCTTCTGCTGCCCAGCTCCCTCTGCGCTCATGGGCAGATCCAGACCCATGCCCATGGTGCCAATGAAGGAAGAGGTAAATAAGTTGCCCAATGCCTTCCAGCAGCCTAAACAGGTCTCCGTGTTACAGTCTGCTTGGGATTAAAACACTCCTGCTGCAGCACCCACTTGCCAACACTCTTTGAACTATAATGGAACATCTGTTGAGTTAATCTCCTGCAGGGTAATTCCTCCCCCCACATTTTAATCCTCTTCCCTTCTGAAGTGCTTTTACTCTGAAATTAGACACGCTGGTTGGGTTGCCACAGATGATTCTGGCAAGCATGGAAGTGTTCCCGTTAGCACAGGCCTTTCCCAGGAGCTGCAGGAAGGGAGAGGAGCAGTGTCAGCCCTCTTTGGCATGTGCTTAAAGCTCACTGTTGTGTCAGAATCGCAGGCTAAATTACAGGCCTCGTCTGGAACAAGATGAGGCTCGCGGGCTTTGAACACATCCCAGTCAGATTGAGGCTGTTAGTGCGACTGACTCAGTGAGGAGGGTTTTGCTGGGGGCAGCTGCAACCAAACTAAATTAGTGCCACTGCCCCACTGTTGTAACATGGGGGAGTCTTCAACTGATCTGTGCCTCAGTTTACCTGGTAGACGAGGATAAAAGATCTTGACCACCTTTGCAAAGCACGCTGAGCCATAAAATCGAAACACCACACCCATGTACAACCTTGTTTGCGTCTGTCTGGAGGCAGGGGAGTCAGGTGTCCTTCAGGAGATGGCAGGGGAGTTTTAAAGGGAAACAACCTCATACAATTTTCACACAGCCCCACTGAAACATCTGAACCCTGATAGATGATATAGTTTTATTCCCTACCATCTTGTTTAGCTTTAGTTTCTGGAATCCAAGATCACCAAACACAACGCCAGGCTCCAGTCTAGGCACATCCAAGCCTCCCTGCCCAAGGGCAGGCAGGCTCCAGTAGCTCCTATTCACTACCCCTTGGCCAGAGCAGGAATGACCACCCCATCAGGACCCTGGTTCTCCTCCCCTGACCACCAAGTCTCTCCAAGCAAACACCATCCTCTCCTCTCCTGCATTCACTACAGTCATTGTAAAATCAGAGTCACTCACAGAGAAATCAATTAAAACATCCAGATGCAAGGCACAGATTGGAAGAAGAGCAGAATTTTATAAGACACCTTTTCTTCACTGCAGCCATCTTCTCCAAAACCAAAGCAACTTTCCCCTTGCAGAAGACATGGAAACACTGTTCAACAAAGGGGCCTTCTCAGACCATTTCAGATCCCCCTGGGGAAGCCATGGCCCAGCACCTGGCACAGCTCAGCTGCTTTTCCTTCGCTCTCAGCTGACTAAGTAGATTTGTGTCCAGCTGCTAAAGGTCTGTTGTGTTCTCTCTACATGCAGGGCCTGGCTCCACAGACATGCCCCAGTGTTGAAGCTAAAAAAAAGAGTTAGAGCCAGAAGTCCAACCCCACACCAAGAGACCCCACTGCTGTCTTCTAGAGAAAGAGCATTTGAATGCATCACTGGAGGCACTTCACACCCAGTGCTATCGATGTATGCAACCTGCCTTGGTTCCTTCACAGCCCACCATGCTGGTGACTGTGTGCAGGGTCAGCTGAGGAGCCTGCCCATTCATAGAACATAGAAAATGGTAGTTGGCAGGGACCTCACAAGGTCAGATCCAGTCCAATCCCCTGCTTAAAGCAGGATCAGCCCCAAATACATCATCTCAGCCAAGGTTTTGTCTACCCGGGTCTTCAAAACCTCCAAGGATGGAGATGCCACCACCTCTCTAGGTAATTCCAGGAGGCCAATTCCCTTTCCACCTTTAATTATTTTCTTATTCGACAGAAGCAGGCTTTCTTTGGCTACACGTTACAGGTCGCTCAGGTTAAGTTCAGGCAGACTGTCTGACAGGTCACTGCCAAAGTCCTCATCCTCATCCTCATCCAGCATGCTTCCGGCTTCTTCTCGTGGTGTGCTTGCTTTCAGCTCCAGGCTCGGGGTGGAAGTATTTCTGGAACCTACAGGGACATTGCGAAGAAGTTAGCGATGCTCTGAACCTTGTTCCTGAAAAACCAAGCTCAAAGCACTGAAGAGAAAGTGGCTTGGGGGAAGCTGCAGCCCCTAGTCACAGCCTCCCTGGAACTAGAGAGTGTAGGCAGAGCTGATTCTCTGCATGTCTGCAGTCACTGATGAGGTCCAACATCCAGCAGCGCCCAGTCACCTTCTCCCAAGGCAGATAAAATACGAGTAAAAATGCCAACTACAGGGGTTTGACTAAAATTAGGTGCCACTCTAAATTAACCATGGCCCCAAGCTTCTTAGCAAACTGCCAGTGCACTCCCTGGGTGCCCCTATTTTCATACTAATTAGGCTTGTGGTTGCTCCTATGATATAAATATGAACTGCTAATAACATAGAATAATGAACTTCCTGTACCATTTTATAACATTTCGCTTGACACAGAACTTTGCTGATTAAACATTAAATTCAATCCCTGGCGTGTGCCTGGGAATGATACTGAAGAAGGGAACTTAACCCTTTGATGTGGCATGGAGAGAATGGCTTAGGGAATGTCCTAACAGCAGCCTGACATGTTACAACTGTATCTGCAAAGCAGTTAATTACAACTGTCTGCAAAGCAGTTAATTGCAGCAGCTTTGTTAATAAAAACTAAACCAGCAGGATTAGTACTTGGAAAAAACAGCAAGGCAGCTTAATATGCCTTAAACTCCCATTCATGAGAATCTTAAGCACCTTACCAAAGTAGGGCATGAATGTCCTTAAAGAGAATATTAACCACTTTGTTCTTGGGCCTGGGATTTCCCCCAAGGCTAAATATTACTGCAGACACGGGGGACTTTAACATCCCAAGAAACAACTGTGCAGATCCAAAGAGATAAACAGGCTGAAAGAGGAAACTTTTTGAAGCTAGTAATTCTCACCTTCTTCCTAATCTCACTGGCTGAGTGCCAGCACCAACCTCAAAGAGGAATGACAACATTAAAATCTGATGCCTACCCCCACCAGGGGAAGTATCAGATATCACAACTGGCCTCACACCCAACCAAGTGTTACCCCGAAGCCAGACTGGGTGGGGCAGGGGGGATCAAGGGACAGATGAGAACATATATACACACTGCCCCAGTCTTTGGCAAGGCAGCGCTGCTCACAGGGCAGTGTATTTTTAACTATGGCTTGTGTACTTTGATATATTTTTCCTCATCAAAGCAAGCAGCAGAAAGTGCCTTGGTCCAGGGGCCAGCCAAGTGCAGTTTCACAGCATGGGCCACAAGCAGGGTTCATCTTTAAGACACAGTTAGGACAGACCAGACACCTCCATGCAAACAGGCCCCTGGCATCATGGTACACGCAGGGAAATGTCATCTCAGGGCTGCTACTCAACAGCACAGATGCAAGAGGTTGATGGTTGGTTCTGTCTCATGCACGATACTTCTTTTTGACACAACACCTCTGATCAAGCCTAACAGCCCACAGACAACAAAACTCAAGGGCACATCTACCTTACAGAGGTCCTGATGCAATAGGCATGCGGGCAAAGCCATGTTGGCACAGCCTCCTGGTGGAGACAGGGAGTGTGGCCAGCAAAAGGGGGTTTTCTGCTGGTGTAGCTGCATGATCTCAAACTGCTGTGTCCAGACTAGAGCAGCACTTCTCAAAAATGGGTCACAAGAATATAGGAAAGCATGAACAAACTTTTAAAATGGATCAATAAACTTTAAAGGAAAAAAATCTGAGAAATGG